CCAGACCTAACTCTATTATATCTTTTAGATAAGAGTGATATTAAAAGTTGTATAAAATCTTTTAGAATGTGTATTCTTTCTAATACCTTGTATAATGTTAGCAGATATACAGAGTTAAAAGTCTTTGACATGTTCTGTAGAAGAATTCAAATTTCTTTTTTTTCTATAATAAAGTGTTCAATGATACTTGTTAACTAAGAAACTAGTTGAAGAGTTAATTGATAAAGGAAAGCTATAAAGTTTTAAGGTAATAGAATTTTGTTTCTAGTAATTATAGGGATAAGTCTATTAGTTAATATTTTTGTAAAAAATTTTCTTGTGTATTTAATTAGAGTAATTAGTCTGGTTGTATTTAGGTTATAGTTGTATTGAGATTAATTAGATATTTGAGTTCACTTATTGATTTGGTGTAGTTTGAAATATAAGGCAAGTATTCATTATATCTAAAAGGTATGAGATTGCTACTAGTAGTAAGTATTATAAGATTTCATTTGAAATTCTAAGTAGTCTAATAGCTTTGTTTTTTGGTGCAGCAGCAATAGTCTGCAGTAGGTCTTCTATTTTTATTAGTATTAGAAAATTGTTAAATATATAAGATTGTATGTAACTTAGTAGTTTGTAGTATTGTTCCTATTTATGCTAAAATTCTTCATTTGTTTTATTTTCTTTTGTCTAGTTTTTAAAGTATTGTTAAGTAGCCTCTTAATTTTGTTATATTCAGTTATTAATTCATTGTTCAAGATAATTTTTTCATAGTTGACCTAGTCTATATGTCTTTGCAGGATGCTATCTATTATTCTTGAAATATTATCTTTGAAGTCAGTATATCTGCGATTAGTATAGAATTTGATTTTTTCATTCTGTTTATTTCTTTTTTTAGTATTGCATACTTGCCAAATTGTATGTTTATATTCTTTAAGCTTAGCAATAGTATTGTCATTGCAATTATTGTATTCATCTTAATTCATATTTGGAATAGTTAGGTTAGCTAGTGATACTACTTTTGAAATATATTTGTTTAAGATATCTAAAGAGATATTTAACTTAGTTACTAGTAGATTTAGAGCTTTATTGATATTTGTTAAAGCAGAGTATAGCTTTATTGATTTTAATGAAATTGAGTAAAAGGTTTTAGGTATTGTATATGTATAGAGAATATATTTGTTAATAGTCTCTTTTATCTTTTGTAACCAGATATGCTAGAGCTTATTAAGAGTAGTCAAGTTCAAGCAATTTTTTGAGTCTGAAAAGGAGTTTATAAGGGTGTCTATAGTATTTAAAAATTCTTTCTAGTCTTGTTCCTTTATTTTGTTATAATAATATATCTTCTTTTTTCTTTTTTTTCTATTTCTTGAGGGTGTAGTAAATCTTGTATACCATGTTGTGTTTATTATTTTGTGATTGCTATCTGAAATTCTAATTGTGTTAGATAATATTAAAGTGTTCAGACCAAATAAAATATCACTTGAAGCCTAGATATAGTTTATTTGGCTAGTAAGATCTTGTCGCTACTAAGTAGAAGCTAATATATTGTAGAACTCTAATAGGCTTAAGAAGCTAGCAATTTGTAATTTTGAGAATATTATATATTTTTTTTTCTTAATATTGATGTTTGTGTTAAAGTCTCTCATCATTAGTGAATACTAGTTTTTTGTTTTAATTTTCTCTATACAGTTGTTTAGCTACCTTTGTATTTTTATAAGCAGATCATCATAGTTTGAATAAAGGTATATTGAAACTATGCAGATATTATTGTTATTAGAGAATTAGAAGTCTATTTGAATTAGTATTCTTAGATATGTCAAGACATTTCTTATGTATAGTATTAATAAGTAGTGTACTATTAAAGCTATTCCTAGACTTGTTTTCCTTTGTTGTTTTTGGTATAGAATAAAGTTAGAAGTAAAGATTTTGTAAATTGGGTTTGTGAGAGTAAGTTTATTTGTGTTTTTGAGTTTAATCTCAGTTAGTAAGATAATATGTAAATTATTTTCATTGTAGTATTGTATCTAGTTTTATAGTTTGACTAGATTATTTAGTCCTTGAATATTATGAGTTATAATTTTAATTTTTTTGTTGATATTAGAATTATTATGTTAAGTTTTAATATTATTGAAGTTAATAGAATTAGTTATGTTATTATTTATAGTCTGACTTAGAAGTTTTACTTATTATTGTGTTATCATTATCTAACTTAGTACTATGTGAAGAGTTATCAAATATATCTCATTCTAAGAATAGTAAGTTAAAAAGAATAAAAATAAAATCAGGAAAGTTATTGTAATAGAAGTTTTTAATAATAAACCTCATTATTAATAGTATATCTTCATGTTTTGTAATTAGAAGATCTATTTTTTTCTTTGGCTATTTTTGTTAAACTATTTGAATCAAGTCTTGTAAGTTATTTGAAGAAGTATCAGAATTGAGGTTATCTTGTTTAGGTATTTGTATTCAAGATTCTGATATCTTGTAAAAGAAGTAATATTCTTATAATATTTATGATGCTATTATTAGCTCTTTTGTTATATTTATAGGTAGAGTTAGATTTACTTCTATTACTTTTTCTGCTTCTTCTAGAAGTTCAAAAAGTTAGTGTATTGCAAGTATAGTATCTTTCTGATAAAGGAAATAGAATTATGAAGATTTTTGGAATTTTTGTAAGAAATTTCTTTGTTTCTTTTTTTGTACTAAGTAGGAAGGTATAGGTATTTATTAAAAGTAGATCCTTTAGTTCTAGAAGAAGTTTTCATCTTGGAATAAAGTAATCATTAGGTAATTTAAGAAAAGCAAAGTCTTAACAGAGTAAATTAATATATTCTAGTAAATCTTCTCTATTTTTTAGAAGAAATAGAAATTTTGGTTGTAGGCATAGAAGAAGGTCTTGTGGAGTAAGCAGTAGTTTTGATACAGGTAAATTAAAATAATTTGTTAGAATTTGATCAAAGATATAGAATTCCTATAAGGCTTTTTTATAGCTAAGCAGATTTTTTAGTTCATTTTATTTTGTAATAGGAAATAGGTCTTTGACTTGTGTACAAAGGTTTCTTAGACTAGTAGGAAGAGTAGTTTGTATATCTTTAATATAGCTCTCAGGTAGTTATTAGAAGTTGAAAACTTTTTTTAATACTCTTATAGTAGCTTCTATATCAAGAAGGTTAGTTATGGGTAAGATGAAATCAAGATATGAGATGATATATATTAGGATATCTGAAGAATTGTCTAGTAGAGGCAAATAATTTGTAACTAGATATTTGTCTATTTGTGCTAAAGCTTTGTCAAACTTGTATAATATTAGTGTTTTTATAAATCCTGCTAAATAGAAAATTATTCTAGTAATTTCTCTTAGTGAGAGTATATTTAGATCTAAAGATAGTAAGTAATCTATACCTAGTTTTTGACATAGTATATAAAAAATTTTGTCTCAATTTGTTTTGTTTGTCATTGTAATATTGTGTTAATCTTTATATCTTTCTATTGCTATATTTAAGAGGATATTAAACTCATTTTGGTGTTGAGGTTTTATTGCAGAGAGAGACAATTATTTTATCAACATTCATTTTACTAACTATGTCATTTTACTAACATTTTAGCTCGATTTAGGATTAGAGTTTAGCTAGTTTTATATTTTTATTGAAATTATTATTAGTAAAATAATATAAACCTATTGCAGAGGACTAAGAGAAAGTGCTAAAAAATTAATTATTCTTGTAATAAAGTTTAGCATATATTGTAGGAAGGATTAGATGTTTTGCTAGAAGAGTTTGGATTTTATATGATATTAAATCAGCTAAACTTTCTATAGATGTAAAGATTTCTAAGCATCTATTGTAGTGCTATTTTTCTTTGTCTAGGTTCTTATAGTTTTTCTTTTTCTAGTCTTTTAGTTCAAATTCAAGAGTGTGTGTCTAAGCAGTTTCTTTATCTTTTCTTGTATCTATAATAGTTAATCTTTGCTTCAGTCTGCTTATTATTATAGAGCTATAAGTTCTTAAAGAAGTACTGTTAGATGTTGTAGCTTCTTCTAATATTGTATTTAAGGTTGCATGTATCAAGTATGTATTAGCTTTTTCTAAGATTTTATCAAGATTTGCTGTATTACTATTGGTGCTAGTCAACAATTGTTTTGATGTTGAGACTAGATCAGAGCATAGGAATTTTGAAGTTTTACTAAAGTTTTGATCATTTATTTGTTTATCTGTTATGTAGTTTACATGTGCTAGTGATATTATATGGACTGTTGATGAGAGTAAACTAGAATTCTCACTTTTTTCAAAAATTGTTTTTTTTTCTATAGTAAAAATTGAAGTACCTTAGATTTTTTTGTTAAGTTAGAAGAAATATCTAATGCTCTTTTTATTTTTTTTATTCTGATGTTTATTAATATAGGTAGTATCAGTAAGTGTAATAGTTTGTATAGCAATAGAACTAGAAGATCTGTTTCTGGTTTTTTTCTTCAATGTTAATATTACTAATATAGTCGACAATAATTTTTTTGAGAAAGTAGATGAGTGAGAAGCAAGCTCTCTAGTTCTTTTAATCTTTTTAGTTGTATAAGTAGAGTATATAAAGCTATTTTTATTATTTAGTTAGTTATAAATAATTCTATATATAAAACTTTTTGTTTTGCTCTGCTCCATATATTAGTTTTAGGATTTACAGGTGAGAGTTTTTATAATTTATATAATTTAATTATACAATATGAATAATTATATTCAATTTTTATTTTTATTTTTTCTACAGTAAGATTATTTTTCTTTCTTTACTAGCATATAGCAAAATAAACAAAAGTATAGCGTGACTGAATAAAAAATTGAGTACTGATAGTGTGATAGTATAGATGTAGAAATTTTCTTAAAGTAAATAGATATTGCATAATATCTGTTATGATAATCAAGAATAAATGTTCAATTTTATTGATTCAAACCTGAATAATAATCTAATATTCATCATTTATGTTTCAATATTAACTGTCTCTATTAACTAATGTGCAAACTCAGTCTCTAAATCATATCAAATATCATTTGATCTGAAGTACTTCTTGATAATAATTTTATCATAAATTTCGCAAAATCTAGAAGGATCTTATTTTCTGGCGATATACAGTATTTACTGTATAATTTTGGCAGAAACCATTCCATCCTAGCTAACCTAATTATCATTATATACAAAAAAGTAAAAATAATATGCATATGCATAAAATAGTCGTGATAATTTGTTTTGAAATATTTACTTTCGATATTATCAAGAATCGTATTGGTATCTGTCGAAAGATCCGAAAATCAAATTACTATTTCATCAATTATTGTCGCGGCTGAAGCATTGAACCTAGCTGCCGCACAAAAATGCGCGGATGATCCTCGATTTTGATTGGCTAAGAGTGACGATCAAAAATTTTGGCCGGAATTACTCAAAATTTCACTAATGAAATCACTGCTGCGTATTAAGTGAAAATTGTTCCTGGGCTTATTTTAACATAACGCGGGCCTATTTCTTTGAAAATTTATATTTTTAGAATGAAAAAGTTAAAAAGTTAATTCCGGCCAGAATTGAGTAAACAATTATGTAATGCGGACCAAAATTTTGCAGATCTACGGCCGTTAGCCAATCAAAATCGAGGATCATCCGCGCATTTTTTGTGCGGCAGCTAGGTTCAATGCTGAAGCTGGAAATTAGAGGTCTCGATTTAAAACTATAAACCCTGTTAAAATCCAACTACACTATTTTATTATCAACCCTAACCCTAAATTCTAACTAACCATAAAAAAAATCGGAAAAAATGCACCCCAAAATTTTTTGTAAATTTCATATTAAAATATTTAAAATTTCCAGCTTCAGTCGTGACAATTATTGACATTAGTTATTCAGTTAAGAAATTTTATATGCTTAGATGTCTTATTTTATAAGATGGAATCATTTTAATAATTCAGTATTGTAATTTAGAAGGTTACTGAAGTTGCATAATTTCTGTATTTTTATTTTGTATCTATAGAGAAATTATTACAGAATTTTTCATTTTTTTTTTATTTATTTGTTTATTTTTGCATTATGTATCCACATCATCATCATCATCATCATCATTGATATCTTCCCCATTTTCGTCGTCTTCATCGTCCTCGTCTAAAAATATAAAGGCCATCTCCTTTTTCGAAATCTTAGCACTAGAATTCACATATTTGACAAATCTCATAGTTCCAGCATCTCTCACTACCACACTTAGTGTATTCTTTTTTGGCCAAATAGTCAGCAATTCTTCTTCGCGAGCAACATAATGTGTTCCTCCTTGCCACTCGTTATTCCAATCTTCTTCAATACAACAAAGGGTTATATCTAAACCTACAGCATCTAACGCTTGATCATGAATTAAAGTATAATCACCAGATTGAAATTGTCGAATTTCTGAGGATATTCTGCTAATATTGTATCGAGTTATTTGTGCGAGGTAGCTTGTGAAAATTGTTGATTTAAAAAAGTTATAAATATATTGATGAAAAGGAGATGTAATATTAATGTCCGGTGATTCGCTAGTAGCATTATTTGTAATAATATGATATCTTCTTATAAACGGTGGTCCTGTAGGTTGTTCATCCCATTGTGCCTTGTTCAAACTATCAATTAATTTATCATATACATTTTGTTGAAGGAATTGCTGTAATTCTATTGAAGCTTCTCTTCTTAACACTTTAATAATATCTTTAATACCTTGTTCTGTTAAATAACTTGGATTAATAATTTCATTTATATTGTAATAATCAGGATCTACGGATACCGGGGGGATATATTGAGCACATGATAATCTGGTATTAAGAGTTCCATGAAACCAACCAGAAATTGATAGACGAACTTTTGCTGAAGTTAACACTTCAGAAACTTGATGATATGAAGTTGGACTAAGTTCGAAAAATACCATAGTATTCCATTTTGGAGTTATTGAAAGTGAAACTTTATTTGGGTGACCTTGACTATCACTATTTTAAAATAGTTAGGATCGCGACAATAAGTAAATACGCTAATATTTAGTATATATATATGCTTACATGTTAAATAAATCCAAATTACCACCATTCTCCTTTACCCAATCTTTATCAACCAAATAAATAATAAACGCGACTCTTCTTCCATGCATATTATCATCATCTTTAATATCATCATCATGACACAATAAATAATTACCTTGCAAATATTGATGCGCTGATAAATCCGGTGTAGAATCAAGTTGAATTCCTGTTAATTCAGATATGGTTTGAACAAAATCTTTAGAATAAATTATTTCTCGTAATTTTATTGTATTGGGATTATTTGAAAGTTTTAATTCTTCACTTTGATAAAATTCGTATAAATCATTGGACTTTTGATAAAATTCTTCAGATTCAAGTTCTGCTTTCACGGATTCAAGAAGTTGTGAAGGAAAGATATCAGGGAGAATTGCAATGGGAAACGGAAAACCATATATAGTAGCATTGGATAACGGATCTTTGAAATCTTGACGATTTCTAAGGGCCTTATGAAAATTGGAAATAAATTGCGGCTGGGTGTAATTTGAATTGAAAATTTCTTCACAGGATTTTTGACTGGATTCAATTGTTCCGGAAAGCCGGTCAGAAATTGTGATATCTAATTTCTGTTTTTTATCTGAAATATCGCTTGATAAAGGAGATGCACGTTTTTGCATGGTCAGAATACGGTTCTGCCAAGGATCAACATGAAAGAATGTTCCATCAATTTGAAGATCTTTTTTATACTTTTTAGGCGAGTACTCTGTGGGGAAAAGACTAGTGGCGCTAGGTCACCGATTTTCTGCGACAGACCCCAAAATCACCCTTTATAATCACACATAAGGACTTTTTTTAAAAAAAGTGTTTACGTATAAAGAGGTTGTGTTTATACGTACGTAAAAAGTTTTTTTTTATTAACAGTTAATATACTTTTTTGATACGTCATGCATAGGGTGAGGGTAGGGTTGTTAATGGAGTGGCATACTCCGGAGCTGCTCCGGAGTGAACCCAACCCAACCCAAGTTGGAGTGGGTTGAAGTTATGACTAAAAATCTGGAGTGAACCGGAGCAACCACTAAGCTAGTCTGGAGTGGCTCCGGAGTGAACCCAACCCAAGTTGGAGTGGGTTGAGGCCCAACTAGGGTATCTGGCACGCATAAATTTATTTGGGCCATAGGCATGCCACTATCTGGCATGCCTGTGCCACTTTTTACTATGTTTTTTACTAATAAACTAGTTTGTCTTTGTGGCATGCCAAATGGCATGCCCGTGCCTCTATGCCAGGTACCCTAGGCCCAACCCAATCCATTAACAACCCTAGGTAAGGGGCACGAGAAATTTTTAGGGCATGCCTCAGCTCCATCTTATTGTAGAGATGTTAAAAGTCCGGTCCAGTCCCGACTCGACTCCAGAAGTTGAGTTTTAATTTAGACTCGGTCCCAAATCAGACTTGGGACCGAGTTCTATAGTCACATGAAATGTTAGATGTTATAGGATTATAAAGATATAATAATAAATTTATGAATTAATTTTTTTTTTTTTTGACTTTTCAACAAAAAACAAGTTTCAGTTTTTGTTACTATAAATCAATAGTTTTCATACAGTATATGAAATTTGAAAAAAAGCTAGTCTGCTAGGTTTGATTTAAAATTTATATTAAGTATTAAGTAATTAATTTTGTTTTTTTATTTATTTTTAAGATATCTTATATTGCTAAAAGATTTTATTAGTTTGATATATAGGGTTACATGTAGGTAATCTTTTACAGTTTGTGATTACATGAAGAGTATTTAACAAGCTATATATATAATTTTAACTATTATTATTTATTTTAAGTTGTTCATTATATAGATATTTGATTATTTGATTAGTTTTATACTATGCTATTATATTTGTAATTTGTTTGTGAGTTATTTATTTAAATACTAAGTTCAATTAATTTTTGCTATTACAAACTATAACAACTAATTGTTTATCACAGTGTTATAAAATGAATTTTAGAAGGTCTGATGATCTTAGTGTAGTGGTTAGGTTGCCAGACCGCCATGTAAGAGGTCTGGGGTTCAAATCCCACTGTCAATGAATTTGAATAATTACTCGGACCTTTGTATTCAACTTACAGTAAACCCTATTCATTTCTGGGGTTGTAACCCTGTAAATCACATTGCACTAATATTATCCGGATATTGGAAGTGTGACAGGACGTTTGGCAAGATGTAATGTTACATGAATAAATCTTGATAGGATTTACGGACAGGGGACCTGCATAGTAGAAATCCTGAGTAGGTGAAGTAGTACAACTTTCAACGGTCACACTGGCTAACACTTGATCCAGAAAGGAAACTATGATCAAAAGATACAGATTGAGTTAGGTGCGCATAAATCCATTCCACAGGGAGGATCGGTAACACCAACCTAGCTTGGTGGCTAACTGGATTAGAAGGATCTGCCTTGTAAAATATCTAAGAAAATAGAATACAGAAAACTGGTAGAGAGCCACAGTAGGAACTGGAGTTGTATGAATATCTACAAGGGTCTAATCTAGGTGATCCTATAAAATGGGTATGGGCCGCTCTAGTGGGTTTGCTTTGAGGTTAACCGGCTCTGCAATACTAGTAATACGTCTGGTATAGTGTATCCTGAGAGGACCTAAGCTGACTTGGGTAAATGGATCTGTAATGAGCTAGCTGGCTTAAGTAGTTAGGTGTTGCGGTGACGTTAGGTTTGGATCTGTATGGGTTAATGAACAGAGTGTTTAAATAGGTAACTCACAGG